TCTCCCGTCGCGGAGCACAGGCTCCGGACGCGCAGGCTCAGCCGCCATGGCTCACGGGCCCAGCCGCTCCGCGGCACGTGGGATCTTCCTGGACCGGGGCACGAACCCGTGTCCCCTGCATCGGCAGGCGGACTCCCAACCCCACTGCGCCCAGGGAAGCCCCCAGGTCAGAGTTTTTTAAGAGAAGACCCAGGGTGGCTGCCCAGAGCAATCATTCATTTGATTGGCTGTGTAGAGACACTGTTTATCCACTCTTTCTTTGAACAAATAGCAAGGTCCCGCTGTGTGCCAGGTTCTTCTAAGCACTCAAGGATTCAGCAGTGCACAAAAGACTAGACTTGCCTTGAAGTTTATTTTCTGTTGGGATGAGAAAGACAATTAGGGTAAATACGAGGTGGATCAGAGAGTCATACGTGGGATGGAAATGAGCAGGGAAAGCGAGGGAGAATCTGGAGTTCACTCAGGAATGTGATAAAAACCCTGAGAGAAGGGCGAGAACAGCAGGTGCAAAGGCCCTGAGGCAGGAAGGAGCTTGCTGTGAATGAAGCACAGCAGGAGACTCTCACAGAGTGAGGTCAGAGGGAGTTGTGGGCAGAGCCATTGTGACACCCTGCCTGTTACTCTGAGCAACATGGGAAGCCCTTTGAGAGTGTTGCTTGACCTGATTTGCACTTTAAAGAGATCGTCCTCAGGGGAAAATGACTATGGCTTTTTGATTATGGCTCTGCCCTCCCTTGCCCCTCCATCCAGTGAACAAGTGCTGACATGTGTGTGCATGTAATACATGTGTGTGTGTACTTTAAGAGACTGAGAGTGGAAACAGGGAGGCTGATGCAATAATCCGTGCAAGATGATGGCAGCCTGGACCAGGGGGTGAGGGTAGAGCAGTCAGCTTCCAGGTATGGGAGCAGAGCCACTGGGATTTGCGGGTGGTTTGGGTATGAGAGATAGAAATATCCGTCACAGAGGACTCTATTCTGAGCTACTGGGACAATTTCCATTTGCTGAGATGGGGACCTCAGGAGGACTGTGTTTTGAAGCTGATGACTCAAGAAAGAAGAAAGAATTTTCCTTTATGAAACTCGGATGTTCTGTTTTGCTTGGGAGGGCCTCTCTCCCCCAAGGTTATCTTGGAGTCAGCCAGCCGTGTCCACTGATTTATTTGTATATTCTGTGCCTAGCTCTTCTGATTCTATTATTCTGATTCTATCAAGTTTATGGTGTTTTTATATCTGGTGGCTCAAAAACATCATTGCTAGCCTTTTCCAAAAATTTCATGGCAAATCTCACATATTTCTTTTTCTTTACCAATTTTAATATCTATGTCTAATGAGTCCCCCCAATATCCATTGAGATATGTTTTTCTTTTTTTTAATTTTTAATTTTTATTTATTTTTTTATACAGCAGGTTCTCATTAGTTATCCATTTTATGCATATTAGTGTATATATGTCAATCCCAAGCCGTTGAGATTTTTACTAGAGCTTTATTTATTTATAATTTGAGAAAGGTTTTACCTTTGGAAGTAGAGTCTTCACATCCGGGAACATAGTATGTGTCTCTTTTCATCCCAGTCTTGCTTTAATAACCTTCAGTAGGATGTGTATGGCTTTCTTTGTACCGGTCTTATGCCTTTCAGATGTGATCTATCCCAAGGTATTCAGTAGCTTTGTCATTTATGTGAATGTGGATTTTTTTTTTCACAATGCAATTTCTAACTAGTTATATTTACTGTTTAAAAAAAAAGTATTGGGTTTTTTTTTGTATTTTTTACTTGAATCCAGCCACTTTCCTAATTGTCTTGAGATTTTCTAGTTGTAAAATCATATCCCGAATAATGATAAATCTTGTTTTTCAACATTTATACTGTTTATTTCATCTTGTCTTATTTCAAAAGCTGGAACCTCTAAAAATGTGACTAGTGGAACTGACAGTGAGCATGCCTGTTTTGTTTCTGACTTTAATGGAAATGCTTCAGTGTTTCACCCATGTAACATATTTGCAGATAGTGTCTGTTAATATTCTCGTGTTTAGGATGTTCATTTTATTTCCATGTAGTTTATATGTTCTGTTCTATTCTATACCATTTAGTCAGGAACGGCTGCCGAATTTTGTTAAATGCCATTTTGCCATCTGTTGATATGTGACCTTTGCTAATATAAGGAATTGAAGTTTTGCTAATTCTTGAAGGATTCTTATTCTTGGAATAGACCCTAATTGATCTTGGTAGGCCCTTTTAAAATATGGCACTAAATATTCCTACTGTTTTCTTTTTTTGATGTATTTGCATTTATATCCATAAACTGGATTGGTTTATATTTTTCTTTCCAAGTCTTTTCTTTATCACATTTTTGTATTAGGGTAATATAAAATGAACTGGAATACTATATATCACTTTTTGTGTTCTGGAATAATTTGACTAATGTAAAAATTATCTAGGCTTGACACCTTTTTACTGATAGATGGTAGATCTTTTAACAGCTTTTTAAATTTCTTTTGTGGTTACCTGTCTATTCAGGCTTTCCTATTACTTAAGTTAAATTTAGAATCTATATTTTGCTAGAAAATGATTCAATTTCCTCCAGAGTTTAAAGCTTATTAACGTAAGGTTGCCCATCCTACTTTGTTAGAATTCTTCCATATCTGTTGTTAAAACAGTAATATTTCCGATTCGTTTTGTGTGTTAACGCTTTCAAAGAGCAGTCACACACACCGTCTCAGGGGAGCCTTGATTCCTCCTGGAAAGATGAGGAAACTGATGGTTAAGTGGCTTGCTGGGTCACACAGCCGGTTAGAGGCAGAGTCTAGCCTCAGACCGGGGACCCGCCTTCCCCTGCGGAACACGACCACCTGTGCTCCTTCCAGTTATGTTCACCTGGGGTGCGTCCTCCTCAGGCCCCAAAGGTGTGACAAGTGTAAGGATGGACTTCGAGCCTGAGTCTCCATCCAGAAAAGGCCCCTGTACTCTCTGAGCACCAACACACCTTGCAATGTTTAGGGAAAGGCCCTCCTACCTAGATACAGGGGATGCATTTTCAACTGTTTGAACAAGTGTAAGATGCGTCTGTAATATCACTTTTTTTTTCTAGAATGAAAAAAGAAAGGCGTTCATTCGCTTTACAGATGGCTCCAAATGGACATATTTAAAAGCCTCTGTTAACCTTTGGGTGGTCAAGGATGTGGTGGGCTGTGGTCTGAGTGTGTGTATGTTCACGTTTTGGGGGATATTCCCAGCAGCATCCTGTGTTTGATACAATTTCATAAAGTAACATTATACTCTGTCCTGAAGGATAGTAGCATATAATACCTATATTGCTATGGAATTGCTGAACATGAATCATGACCGAGTTTTAATACAGGCTGGGGGGATTAGATTGATCATCTGGTAAAGTGCTGGTGCTTTGAAAGAACTGTTATCCTAGCTAACAGTCATGAAGGGTTTTGATGTGGAGAAACCCAGTGTATCTGAGAATTCACTCTGGTACGGGGCCAGCATGCATGCCTCCGTTACCCCTGGGTTCTCACGGAGCCCGGTCTCCCCTCCCACCCCGGGGCTCCATGCCGTCCTCATACTCCAGGAGCCGACCTGCTGATGCAGTGACCACAGGTGTAGCTTTGGGGCCTTTTCCTAATTGCAGCAAGTAGAGGCACATCAGGGCTGCAGCCCTGGCCCTGTTCACTGCCCTCGCAAGAGGCTGGGGACTCAGCCGCCCCCCCACCCTGGCTTCGCCCTTCCAGCTCCAGTCTCCTTAGTGCCCAGGATAGACAGAGGCCCTTGTCATTTCCAGGGCTGCCGATGGTCACTAAGGAACTTCCCTGCTCTTCCTGTGGTCTGTCCACCACACGGATCGTCAGCCGATGCACACTGAGATGCTGAACGTGGGCCGAGGGCCCCTCCAGCTCACCTGGCCACGAGCCCTTTGCCAGCACATCAGCCTAAACATCCAGTAAAAAGATCCTTCCTCTGCTTCTCTTTCCTCGTGGCTCACTCCTCCCCCCAGAAAGCTGTCCTGGCGTGCAGACAGGGCCTGTCCCTCCTCGGGGATTCTCAGCACCCTGGACAGCGCCCCCAGGCCCTGAAAGCACCTCCCAACACCCGGCTGTCCTTGCCCTACGAGGGGTGCTGAACGGGCTCCAGGCCAGCGGGCGGCTCCGTTGTCTCCACAGCCTCCAACTGCAGGAACCTGCGCTCATCAGGATCAAATCCCTGCGGGTCTCAAAGTTTCAGACCCAAAGGGACACTTAGCCGACAGCGGTGCTGCAGCACAATGCGGTAGCAGCCATCCAAAACCGCCTTTCACATTCTAACTGCTGGCAGTGTAAATTAATCAAACTGAGGTTCGGAAAATGAAAGCAGTCTGGATCCACATCCCTGTTGATTCCTTTACCGCTCAGAGCAGACACTCACCGTGTGCTTGTTACACAAACCAGGGGACAGGCTGAACGAATGAAGGGATGGGGGCAAGAGGTGCGCCCTCCCCAGGCCTGGCCCGGCCCCTTGCCCTGCCCCGCGGGGCCGACACTCTCTGCTTCTCCTCTGTGGCAGGTCAGCCCAGGCTTCCCCTTCAGCCAAATCTGCCCCTGCAGTCGGGCCTCTGGGTCACACTGTCTCCTGCCTCTTCATCTTCCTCTCTAAGCGGGACCTCCCAGGACCTGCCCTGGCTGAGGCACGCAGAGCCAAGGTGATTCATTATTTATTAAATGGATCAATTTTCCATTCTGTTTTGCCCAGGCTGCTGCTGAGTGGGCTGAGAAGATGCCCAAAGGCCCGCCGCCCATATCTCCCAAGGAAATGGCAAACCAAGAGGTCCTGGCCCGGCTCCACAAAGCCGTGACCTTCCACTACAACACGATCGCCCAGGAGTTTGAGAACTTTGACACCATGCAGACCAATACCGCCTCCAGGGACGAGTTCCGGTCCACTTGTACTCGCCACGTCCAAGTTCTGACGGATGAGCAAGTAAGAAACGCATTTCGTTTCGCCTCCTAAGCGATGCGTAAAGAGTTTAAGACTGTTCTCTAGTTTTTTGAATACTTGAAGGTTTTGGGGGGGCAGGGGGTGGGTGGTTGTTATTTAGTTTTAAATCTTACTGGAGACTCACGGAGCTTTCTGTTTATGTAACAGGTATGAATCGCACCATTTCAATCAGGGTGCAAATAATATCACTTTTATTTTTAAAATCAAATTAAACTCGGCTCCAGCTACCAGTGTCCTCCTTCCCCAGATCATTCCTGGGCTTAAGTGATCCAAAGAGGGGGCCAGTCTCTCCCCACATCTGAGCTGGGAGTGCGGGGCTAAGGGTGGATGTAGAGCCGGTAGGCTGCTCTGACGCTCCCACCACCTCCCGGCTCCCGGCCTCTCCCTGGTTCTGCTGCCGGCGTTTCTGGATGCTCTGGAGCTACTGCCCCAAGCATGCTGGTGACACGCCCACCCTCAGTGGGCCTCTCCACTGTCCACAGGCTGGACACAGGCCACCCTCTCTGAGGGCCTCTTGCCCATCACAGATCCCTCACAAGAGTTTCTCTGCGGTCTCTTCCCCAAGGACTGAGCTGGGCTCTTTTTAGCTCAAAGCTCTAGCAACCGGCTGCCCTGGCCTCTTTGGCCCTTCATGGCTTTCCTAGGCCAAGAGCACCTCCCAGCAGGACGGCGTCCCAGGGGCCTGCCTTGGTCACTGGCCTCAGCCGATAATCTCACTGAACGTCTGCACGGGGGAGCCGAGCCCTGGCTGCTTGGTCCTCACTGTGCCCCCAGCACTGAAACGGAGCCTGGCACAGAGCAGGTGCTCAGCATGTCCCAGTGAGTGGACAGTGTCCACGTTCCCACCCCCATCCCAGCAGTCCAGGGACTGAACAGCCGATAACAGAGCACCACTGATCCAGTCCCAGAAGCAGATTTCCCTTCTTCCCAGAAAATGCACCAGCCTTCTCCAGTTCTCAGATGAATTGATGCCCCATCCATTCCCAGAGGATAATTCAGATGAGAAAGGAACTCGAAAATACTCACAAAAGCAACCCCGCCTCCCCTCTTCCTCCTGCCTCTGCTCAGGCCCAGCCCAGGGGGCTTCCTACAGCTCCCCGTGTGGAAATGTCATTCTTTCCCCTCCGGAGTTGGGTCACTCCAAACTCAGGTCTCACATTGTCAGAGTTTTAGGGTAAGGACTGGAAGTATTCACGGGGAGGGGTGATCATCACGTCCACCCTCCATCCCTACTTAGGCCTCTAAACTCACTGCCCTAAAGAATGAATTTGTTAAAGATATTAGTAATATGAACATCAGATTTCACTTTCCTAAAACATCACCTTTTTTAGGCATTATGATCCTTTCTGCTAAGCAAAACAATGCCCTATTTCCAAACAATTCTGTCCCACAGAGCATCCAAGCCAAGTGAGCTCTCTATTTGCAAATATCAATAATTTTCTCCATTACTACAAATGGACAGAAGCGTTTAAAATTAGTACAGTTGCATTTATTATTCTATGGGGCCAACTAATAAAGGTTGGTAATAAAGATTTTTAGTAATAAAGATTTTAGTAATCAAGATTTTTCATTCCATCTAAATGAGCAAAATTTTACTCTAATTATAGGTATAAATTAATGACATGCCAGCATATCTGGCATTCATAACAGAGAATTTGATTCTAATTGCCCACTAAGAAAGCTTCACCATTCCCGTCACAGACAGCACCCCCTACCCCCCACCCCCTGCAAAAAAATCAAGCACTTACTTTTGAATGCTGCTTTCTAAAAATACATGGACACATCTCAAAGACAGTCTGCACCATTGAGAACATCAAAGCCTGGCATGAGCACCGTGGTTTAAGTTGGGTGATGATTAGCAGAAATTGTGCTATATTTGGGAAGGATGCTTCTAGATACAGGCTAGTAAACAGAAAGCAAAAGCCCCAGAGATCCACATGCTTTCTTCTTGCATGAGTTGCTTAGCCAGCGACCTTCTTGGTTGGATGGCCCAGTGTCTGGCACAGTAAGACACAGAAGTAATTTGCACTCTTGACATGTCTAGACCCCTCATGCCATCATGGGGAAGAGTTCACCGGAGATACTGGGACAGTTCCGACCATGTTAAACAGTTTTCAGGTACAGATTCCATGACTTCCTTTATCTTCATTATAAAGACTTATCTCTGAAAAATCCAATCATAGTGCATCTGAGGGGCCAGCTTTCTTGACTTACAGAGCTCCGTAAGTAGGGAAGTGCCACATCTTTGGAAACCTTTTGGCACAATTAACCTTTCAGAAAAGGAGAGCGACTTTCAGAGCAGATGCAGTCAGACACTGACAGGTCTTCATGGCTCTGCATAAAGCATGTTATAAAAGGCTGTGGAACTGGGTCCACTTGGATCTGGCTTAAGACAGAGATCCCATGGGGAGAGCCTGTCCTGATGAGGCGATTTAGATCAGTCCATAGCGACCGCATGAGGACTTTGAATGTGCAGCTATATTAGGGGAAGGAACCAGCAAACATTTCTGAGCATTCCAGATTGATATTTCTAAAACAGACAGCTTCAGGAAGAGAGAAAAATGCAGGCAGACTTGGGTTTCGACCCTGCTTCTGCACTCGTCCAGCTGTGTGACCTTGGAGAATTATTCAACCTCTCTGAGCTTCAATGTCCTTCCCTCTGAAATGGGACAGTGCTCCCCAGGCAGATCCAGGTGCCCTCCGCTCTGCCCAGGCTGCAGTTCTGCCGTCCCCATCTTTGCCCGCGCAGTCCCTGCCTGCCCCTTCCCCCGCCCCCTCGTATCTGGCCACACCGACTCCCTCTTCCAGAGTCACTTCGAGCCAAGTGAAGCCTTTTCTGACCACACCTTTACCTGCTGGAGCTGGCCACGCCCCGCTTTGCCCTCCCCACCCCCCCACCTTGAGCTCTCCATCATCTGGCTGAGCCCTTGGGACACCCTTGCATGTTCTTGGGCACAGAACTTCCTGTCTTGGCTGCACAGTGAGTGCCCGCAGGCAGCATGCATCCACTCCTTCACTTATTGGGGGCCCTCTGAGCTCAGAGTGGTGATGTTAGGTCCGAGGAAACCAAGGCGGGCCTGCTCCCTGCCTCCATTGAGTCTGCATCCTGGGAGGGTAGAGAGAGATTAAACACCTGTGGTACATTATTTCTTTAACTCCACACCGCTCTCTGCTGCAAAGGGACGTGCAGCGTGCTGGGAGAGCAGAGCTGGGGGCTGACCTGGACCGAGGGGTCAGGGCTGTTTCCCTGAGGACACAATGCAGGAATGTGGGCGTTGCCTCCGAGAGGAGACGGGAGAGAGCAATGCAGGCAGAAGCAGCATCCTCGAAGCAGGCGCAGTGGGCACGCTGCTTAGATGGTGATGCTGCCAGCCGGCTAGTGGACACCAGAGACACACCCTGCCCGTGGGGTCTGTGTTCCTTGAGGGGCAGGCAGACAGTGAACAAAATATATGTATGTTGGCTGGTGACAAATGCTCTAGAGGCCAAAACAAAAGCAGGGAAGAGTGTAGTGCTAGGGAATTGGGAGGGTGTGTTGTGAGTAGGGCGGTCAGGGGAGGCCCCTGAGAACGCAACATCTGATTAAAGACCTGGGTCAGGTGGATGGCTGGGAACAGCGAAGGTTGGAGCATGAATGCGTTTCAGAGTTGGAAGCAGCAGAATTTGCTAATGGATGTGGGTGGAAGAGTGAGAAGGGGAGTAGAGGGTGGGGAAGCCAAAGGAGCCGTGGATGGGGTGCTGTGGGGGACAGGGAGAGGGGAGGGCGGGCGTGGGGCGCCTCACTGGTCACACCTTCTGTCCTGCTCTCCTTCCTGTTCACTTTCTTTTTTGCTCAAGTACATCTTTACTTGCTCTTTCAGGGCAGAGGAAGCCCGAGAGCTTCCCTATTTCACCCTCGTCCTCAAAAGATAGTTTGGCTGGGGATAGAATTCTAGGTCCAGGTTTTCTCTCCCTGACCCTTTCAAGCGGTTTCTCAATTGCCTTCCAGCATCTCTCGGTGTTGATGCGACATCTGCTAATTATCACATGCTTTCTGCAGGGCCCAGATCCCAGTGGGAAGAAAGGCAGGGGCTGGGCTGCTCATGCCACTTCCTTCTTGCCAGAACGCTGCTCTGAGACGAGGGGTGAGGTATGAGTGAGTGAGGAGAGAGGAGCCAACCGGGCTGTTCGGATAAGTCCTGAATGCTCCACACGCAGCTCGTCCAGGTGGGTCTCCTCGGCGTGGTCCCCACCGCCAGGTGGTCCTACGGTTGTCTTGGCCTGGTCCTAGGGACTGGACTCCTCCTGCCTTGGCCTCCAGGCTTTTGTCGTCAGTGACTGTGGAAATTCTGTGCCCACTAGCAGCACAGGCCAGTTCCAGTTTCTACGTCAGGTAGTGGGTGATGGCTTGGTTCTAACTGCCCATCTCACATGGGGGCCTCTTGTCCCTTGTCCCTGTTCCTGAGAGAGTACCGCCCACCACCTGCATCATACCATGCCTCGAATGCCATGGGTTTCTTCTCCATTTCTGTTTAATCCGATTTCCCTGCTGTGTTTGAATAAGGACAATGCATTTTATTTATTTATTTATTTAACATCTTTATTGGAGTATAATTGCTTTACAATGGTGTGTGAGTTTCTGCTGTATAACAAAGTGAATCAGCTATACATATACATATGTTCCCATATCTCTTCCCTCTTGCGTCTCCCTCCCTCCCACCCTCCCTATCCCACCCCTCCAGGCGGTCACAAAGCACCGAGCTGATCTCCCTGTGCTATGCGGCTGCTTCCCACTAGCTACCTATTTGACGTTTGGTAGTGTATATAAGTCCATGCCACTCTCTCACTTCGTCCCAGCTCACCCTTCCCCCTCCCCGTGTCCTCAAGTCCACTCTCTACGTCTTCGTCTTTATTCCTGTCCTGCCCCTAAGTTCTTCAGAACCTTTTTTTTTTTAGATTCCATATATATGTGTTAGCATGCGGTATTTGTTTTTCTCTTTCTGACTTACTTCATTCTGTATGACAGACTCTAGGTCCATCCACCTCACTACAAATAACTCAGTTTCGTTTCTTTTTATGGCTGAGTAATATTCCATTGTGTATATGTGCCACATCTTCTTTATCCACTCATCTGTCGATGGACGCTTAGGTTGCTTCCATGTCCTGGCTATTGTAAATAGAACTGCAATGAACATTGTGGTACATGACTCTTTTTGAATTATGGTTTTCTCAGGGTATATGCCCAGGAGTGGGATTGCTGGGTCATATGGTAGTTCTATTTTTAGTTTTTTAAGGAACCTCCATACTGTTCTCCATAGTGGCTGTATCAATTTACATTCCCACCAACAGTGCAAGAGGGTTCCCTTTTCACCACACCCTCTCCAGCATTTATTGTTTGTAGACTTTTTTCATGATGGCCATTCTGACTGGTGTGAGGTGATAGCTCATTGTAGTTTTGATTTGCATTTCTCTAATGATCAGTGATGTTGAGCAGCTTTTCATGTGCTTCTTGGCCATCTGTATATCTTCTTTGGAGGGACAATGCATTTTAAAAAAATAGTTTCCACCTCTCTGCTGAAACTCCCCACCTGTTCATGCATGTTGGGTACCTTTTCTACTAGATCCATTAATGGATTAGCCACAGTTGTTTTAATGTTCCTGTCTGTCAGTCCCCACAGTGGGGTCATCTCTGAGTCTTGTCTGTTGATGGCTGTATCTCTTGGCAATGGGTCGGTTTTTCTTTTGTTTGTATGTCTCAAGATTTTTAAAAAATTGAATGCCAGACATAGTGTGAAGAATAGTAGAGGTGGTGGCATAAATGATATTTATGCCTGGAGACGGGCACACCTCTTCCCTGTCAGGCTGTGAGTGTGGGAGCGTTGTTGAATCAGTCTGGTGGGTAACTGAGCTACATTTGAATTTTGTTGTTGCTGCTCCTCCCCAGCGTCAGATCCCTCCGGCAGAAGATTGCCCAGGGCCCCCGGGGCTTGAGTGGGTTTGCTCTGCCTCCGCCCATGGCTTTGCTTCCCAGTAGAGGAGGGTCTGGAGTTTCACGTCCATCCCCCACCAGTGGCTTCACGTGGCCTCTTGGGAGCAGCGGCAAAGGCGGCAGAGAAGAGCTTGTGAGTGTGAGCGTTCCCTGTGCCCGTGACTCCCAGCTCGTCTAGCCTGAGCACCAGCCCAGCTTGGCCTTCAGGAATTTGCTAACATCTCGGCTGATTTCTTCCCACTTCCTCCTGAGCCCCGCCAGACACGAGAGCTGGCGCGTCGGGCTCTCCTTGGAGCCTCGGGGCTCCGTGGAGTTCAGTCCCCTCGGCTCCTGCCACCTCAACTGTCTCATGGGCTCAGGAAAAGTTCTGAGTTTGTAGGTATTTGGCTTTTTCTTGTTAGAATGGGAGTGGCGTTCGCTTGCCGCTTCCCACATCACAAGCAGGAGCGGAACCCGAAGTGGTGAATTTTTAAGTAGTTAGAAGGTAGTTGTCTGCTACTCTGCGTTTCCAGGGGACCTTTCAGCAGGCGTGCATTCTGCCCCGTGACATGGAAACTTGCTGACATGGAATGAACTTGCCTTTCAGTTCCTTCACAAACCACAGGAATTTTACCCGGGTTTCACGTCCAGCTCACAGGCCCGTAAGTTTCCAGAGTCCACTTCTGTGGTACCCATTTCCAGTCTTCTGGTGCCCCTTCTGTCCCCACAGCCCACACCAGCCGCCATCCTGTGCTGCATCTCCAGGCTGCGTCAGTGTCCTGGGCTGTAACCCGTCAGGGCTGAAGAGCCACACGTGGGCCTCCACTTCCCCACCCGCCCAGGCCCATCCTAGCAATGTGTATTCTGCCCGCTGAAGCCCCTTTAGTTAAAATAGGATAAGAATAGGGTTTGCGCGGTCCTACCTTGACCTCGCTTGCCCCACAGGCTTTCATTAGGAAGGTGGTGGGCGCCTGCCTCACCTGCCTGAGAACGAGCCCCTTTTGTTGTCCTTGGCCGTTCTGCAGGCGTCCTCATTTCCATGCTTCAGCTCTTCACTGCCTCCTGAAGCATTCATGCCCATCCTTTGTATCTGTCCTTAATCACATGACCTTCCTCCCACTTGCCTCCCAAGTCTTGCTAAGATACGAGAGCATGAGAGCCCACCGGCAGCCCAGCGTCCTTTACGCCACATCTTTGTTCCTTAAAGCCCTTCCTGGGAGTTGTGATCGGAACGCGGTTTAGCCCTTGCCTCCATCCATCTTCATTTCTAAAGGGTCTTCCCATTGTCTGATCGGTCTTATCATGTGATACGGATCTTCAGCCATTGAGCACCTACTGTGTGCTAGCACCTTTGCAAGATGGTTGGCATTTAAAGATGAATCTCAGAGGATCCTTCAGGGAGTCTCTCAGCCAGGCTAGGTGTCACCTCATGGGTGGTTTCATCAGGATGCCCGAAGGGAGAGAAGAGGCTCCGGTCTGCCCAGTGGTTCTGGAAAACTTCCCTGGAGGAGACCGGTGTGGGGGTTACTGCCCTTGGTGATGGTGCTGTGGCCTGTCTGAGCCCATGTGGGCACCTTCTCAGGGACCCTTACTTCCACTCCCCCGAGTAGTTTTTCCCCCATTGATCAAAATTAAAGCAACATAAAACTACAGGTGTGATAAATGACACTGAACTATACACACACACACACACACACACACACACACACACACACACACACACGAAGTTGTTACATAAGATGTAACCTTGGAGGGAAGTTGGGTGGAGGGTCCCTGAGGACCTCTCTGTACCATTCTTGCAACTTCCTGCAAATCTATAATGATTTCGAAATAAAAAGCTAAAACACATCAAGAATGTTGTCCCAAAGGAAACCATTCTCCCTTCTCGGGGCCTGGAATGTTCTCCCTCCCTCCTCACCCCTCAGTACTTCATATCCAGCATTTCAAGGAGAGCCGGACGTGGCCCCTTTGAATATGCTTCTGGAAAAGCCCAGTGGAGCCCACAAGCCAAGCGGGTTTCTGACCAAGTTCAGGCACAGGGTAGGAACATCCCTCCCATGGCCTCAGGGGTGGAGAGGCAGCTGCACTGGGCCTCGGGGGCTGTGAAAAAGCAAATTGCAAGTAAATTACCACCTTCTCGGCTCCCTGAACAGCCCTCGAGTCATCAAGGGCGGCTCACTTGGCATTGAGTCATTTTGCAACATCCGTGCTGGGCCGCGTGTGGCCCTGACCCAGCCCGTGACATCGGACGGCACCGACACAAAACCGTAAACTTCTGCTGTTCTCCAGATGCCTCCCTTTTCATCTTGTGAGAAGACATTGTTTGCCCTGAGGGTGAGAAAAATCGCGGTGGCTGAGGGCTGCAGCACCTGTGCGTTGTTTGCAGGGCTCAGGGGGCCTTCGAGGAGCAGGAAGGAGCCTGGCTGGGCTCCCGGGGAAGGGGAACGAGGTGGGCTGGGGCTTGATTTGCATTTTCTCCTAAAACATTCTTCTGTCCTGCAGCTCAGTCTCTGTGACTACTCACAGGACTTAATGGCCTTAAAGTGCTCGCTAAGGGCCCAATTCAATTTAAGAATGTCCTGCAGAAGCCATGGATAATCCTCCCACGTCTGCTTTCCCAGGAGGCTGCAGCCGGATGGGTGTTTTTCTTTTTTCAATTTTTCATTTGACGCGGGCCCTGGACCCCTGCAGAGGAGATTGCCTCTTCGCTGGCGTCTTCCCACTTCTGAGGGTTTTGCCACTAACCCTGGGAGGTGACCTCTGCCCCTTTGCCAGTTTGACAGGCTCTGGGACGAGATGCCCGTCGATGCCAAGGGAAGATTGCAATACCTGGACTTCCTGAGCAGCTTCAGCTCCGAGGAGGCGGCCCCGCTGCCGGCCCCGGGCGACTCGGCCAAGGCGCAGAGAGGGTGCAGCGTCCCCGAGGTCTCAGAGAGAAGCAGGTCTGCAGGGTCATCGCCCACTCGAGACCTGAAAGCAGGGTCCAAACCGCAGAGTCACCCCTGCATGAGTTCCCGTCTCGCAGCGTCGCACTGGGTCCACGTCCGGCCAGGGCTGGGGTCCTAGTGTCTCCACAGGGTGTGGGTGACCGAGAAGGTGGCCGGGGTGAGCCTGGGGCGGGGGGCTCGGAGAAGAGCCACTGGTGGGTCCTCTCAGTCACCTGCCTGGGAGCGGAGGTAGCTGGGGACACGGTGGGGGTGGGAGGGAAGAATAAAGAGGACTCAGAGCAGGAAGGGACCTTGGGGCCGGGGGCGGCATGTCAGCCACACGGAGGGCATCATCTCGGACGAACGCAGATGCCCCGGGGTGGACAGCCTTGCCGTGGGCCACAGGACCCGCAAGGTAAGTGTTGTCACACCCGTTTTACGGTTGAAGATACGAGGCTCTAAGAAGGGTCCTTGTGAGCTCAGGTCGCTTGTTAGACACAGAGAGAGCTGATTTCAAACCCAGGCCTGTCTGACCGCACGGCCCTGGACCTGGGTCGAGCCGCCCTGGCCTGGGATTGGGAGAGGGGCTCAGCCTCGCCGAGGCTCCCCTTCCTCTGCAAGAAGCTTGACGGTGTCTCCGGGGGAGGGTTGTTGAGGGGATGCCAGGGGGCACAGGAGCACACCCACCGCCGAGCCTCGTGCACGGTGAGCGCTCATTCATTCCTCGGGCCTTCAGTCGACACGTGTTTATCGCACACCTACTACGTGCGGAGAATGAACACAGGTCCCTGCCCTTGTGGAGTAGTGAACAAGTAAGGAAAGTATTTAGTGAGTTAAAGATGGTGTGTGGAGCAGAACGAAGCATCCTGAAGGCGTCCACGCCTCGGTCCCCGGAACCTGTCACATGTACCTTACATGGCGAGGGGGAATCAAGGCTGCAGAGGGAGTTAAGGTTGCTAATCGGCTGACTGCAAGACAAGATTGTCCCGGAGTGTCCGGGGGCCCGAGGTAATCACACGGGCCGGTCACCGGGGACACAGAGGCAGAAGGGTCACACTGGAGAGATGCAGTCTGGGGGAGACCCACCCGGCGTGGCAGCTTTGAAGGTGAGGGACGGGGCCACGGGTCAAGGAATGTGGAGGCCTCCAGAGCCAGAAAGGGCCGGCTATATATTTGTTTCCAAACCTGTTTCTGTTAAAATGGTAACATTACCGTTTTTGTTTTGTTTTTCATTTTATTTCGGAAAAAATGCTGCTTGTGAAATTGTGCACCTGAGTCCTATCTGTGGATTTCTCTTATTACTTCCATGCGGAATCTCAGGTTACAAGACAGTTTCCTATCTCGCTAGACCCCCGTGAGCACGACCCTGCCGCTGCAGAACTGCGAGCCCGTCGAGCACAAGCCGCGGAGGAAGATGCAGGGCTGCTGGTGCGAGTTCCTGCGAGAGGACCAGGAGAGGGGCGCCGACAAGCAGGGCGAGATCCCCGCCACCGAGTTCCAGGGTGCATCCCGTTCCCTTTCCCCCTGGGGATACAGGGTCACCTCCCAGCACAAGTCCACTCCTCATGGTGGCGGCAGGGGAGTGACAAAACAGGGGCCCGGCGGGGAGCTCCTCGATAAAGCCCAGTATGGAGGACAAGGACTCCTAACGCCTCAGCCCCTACCAGGCAGGTCCACACCTTCCTGATCACGTCAGCACGCAAAACCGCAGGCTGGGTTGTGGTTTCTGGGCAGGTTGTAAATGGTGACAGACTTGGAGAGCTGAGGGAGGTGGGACATGGGCGGGGCGCAGGGGACAGCTGGGGACCCAGCTCTGCCCTGTTGATTCAATTTTCACAGTGTATCTGTCGCTTGGGTAGTCTTCAAATAAGACCAGTTAGATGTACACTCCCACTAATTGTTGCATACTGTTTACGCAACCTTTCACATTACAGGAAAACCTGACCAGGTCACTCGTCTGCTTAAAAGCCCCCTCAGCCCATCCCCCACCCCCGCCGTCTTTAATATATGGACCCCCTATTTTTTTTTGGCGGTACGCGGTCCTCTCACTTCTGTGGCCTCTCCCGTCGCGGAGCACAGGCTCCGGACGCGCAGGCCCAGCGGCCATGGCTCACGGGCCCAGCCGCTCTGCGGCACGTGGGATCTTCCCAGAACGGGGCACGAACCCGTGTCCCCTGCATCGGCAGGCGGACCCTCAACCACTGCGCCACCAGGGAAGCCCTATGGACCCCTTTTAAAGGAAAGCGTTTTTCCTGAGAACCTCCTATATCAACATAAACTACTTTTATGGTGTAAACTCTTTACATGAACAGCTCCCACCCCGCCCCCCCCAAAAAAACACTTATGAGTTAAATATAAAAATTTGAAATCAGTTATAATTAAGTGATGTGACATTGATTTGATGTGACATGTTTCGCTGAAACGAAATCACCAGTGTGGGTTTTAACGTTGGCGTCCCACTTGTTTTTTAGTTAATTCTTTTGATTTTGAGCATGATGAACCCTAACTTGTAGTCCTTCATAATCATCACCATCATCACTGTTTTTCTTTTTAACCGTAAACTCCCGTAAGCGCCCCATCCACGGCTCTGACAGTGCACCCAAACTTCAGTGCTCTGAAAAAACAAACACTGATTAATTTTCAGAAGTCATTCTGTATTTTCTGTACGTGTTGGATGGCCTTCTGCAAGTTGGCATCTAGTGGCCATTCCCTTGGGTCCCCCCGCCCATGTCCTGGGTGCACCATGCCCTCCTACTGCTTTCCTCTGTGCAAAGGCAAAAAAACCTGTTTGCACAAGCGCAGCAGCGTCTTCTGCGCTGCGCTGGTTTGAAGACATCATGTCTATAAATTCCACATCCACTGGTTTTCCTCACTAACCTCAACAGTTAGTGCAGCACAGTGTTCCACTCCCAGAAATTTTGTTGCCTTCGTGATGTCCAGTGGAAGTCTCAGCTTATTCAGCTTAAACTAAAATCCTTATCCTACCTCTCTTCCAGTTACGAGCTGTGACTCCAAGAGAAGCTTCGGCTGTTTACCTAGTAAAAGACTGAGCACATGTATTAGTGCAAAGTAAGGGGGTGTTGACATCCTGACATTGCCACCTCAGGGCAGCCAGGAGGACTCCCCAGTGTGGCATCGACGTGACCCTAGTCAGAAAGCCAGACACAAACCCTCAAGTCGCATGGCGGTTGTCTCTTCCGGGAGGTCCATGTATTCCAGAATACACATTTTAGATCATTAAAATGAAAACTCAAAATGCATAAATTGGTGTAGCCTGGAAGACCCTTGAGAGCATATCTTGGAAACACAGTTGGAAAATGCTTGCTCGGGGGCCAAGTCTGAATCCCTGACCCCCAGTCGGGCCCCTGCCAGACTCAACCCCAGCACGTGGAACCTTCCCTTCTCCCCTCCTGCCCGGCTCTGCCCCGACTCCCGTCTGCTGGGACCATCCCTCTGCCTTCACCCTGCCTGCGTTCGTAAGCCCCACGGTGTCGTGTCTGTACTGCTGTGACCACAGCGACGGTGATCGTGCAAAGCCGGGCCGGCAGGCAAAGCCAGGACTGAGGGGGCCCAGCAGGACGCGGGTCCCCTCCCTCCTTGCCGCACTTACCTCGTCGCGTGCCTGTGTGTTTCCACATCTGTCCAGCCACCAACCATGGGCCTGTGAAGCAAGCACAGGGCGTCTCAGCCAGTGATGAGTGAGCGAATGAAGGCGTGATCAAACGAATGAGTGAACCACCCGCCACCAACTGAACTGACATGTTTGCCTTTAGCTCTCGTGGAGAAATTCAACCTGGACGTAAACAGAGATGAGTGCCGGCAGCTCATCGTCAAGTACGACTTAAAGAACAACGGGAGGTTTGCTTATTGCAACTTCATTCAGAGCTGCGTCCTCCTGTTAAAAGCAAGGGAAACCTCGCTGATGCAGAGAATGAAAATCCAGACGGTGAATAAAATGGTACGTGAATCGTCCAGAGGAAAGGGGTGGGGCTGGGGCTGCACGGGCTTCTTTCACTTTTCTCAGTTCCGCCTAAATCCCATTGTCTCACTTCATACAAGCGGTGGCCCCATAAGGTCCTGGAGACCCCAGACTGGGAACCAGCAGCCTGGATCCCAGGTTCTCAAACTAGCTGGGTGGCACATGCCCACGGGCACCTCTGTGCGGCGACCGTCGGGAAGGGTGTCAGCGGCTCACATGGCCACCAGGAGCGGGGGGTCTCGGTCAGTTCACTGGAGAGGCAAGTGGGGTGGGACCACAGCAAAGGGGAGCGCCTGTAACTTACACATAACCGCCGGTTCACTCATCAACCGTCTGAGACGGGCTGGCCTTGCTCCCGGTATGGGCGGCCAGTCGGAGACCCTTTCTCTTTCTTGCGTAAACTACACCCGTGATGCATTGTCTGCAGTTCTCTTCTTGTTTCCTTGAAGAGGAATGGGACCCTAAAGATGCTTAAATGGCAACTGGAGGGCCTGTGCCCTAGATTTTTACCTTTTTTCTTAATCGTTTGTAATTTTATGATTCTCACCCACACCCACTTCAACCACACTCTCCACGGACTCACCTCTCTCGAGTCTTTCCACAGCATGAAGTGGAAAAAGGCTTTTTCACACTCATATTCCATCGTCTCTAGCGCTGAATTCAGTTCCATTGAACTAAACAAGTACAACCGGCCTCGTCGACCTGGGAGCAAACACAGCTGACGCCAGCTGCCGTAGGACTCAGCTGCGGGGACCAGAGGTGTGGGGCAGACCTGACAGCATAGGTGGCGGCTTAAGACTGCTGGCGGCTTAGCCCAGCAAACAGTGGATTCCATAGCAGAAACTTGCCATGCAGCCGAGTTTGTCATTTTGTGCTAAATCGGGCCCCATCTTAGCATAGTTTCTAGTTTAGCCAAGCAAGAGGTAGCATCAAAGGCGTAAAACTTAACCCTAAAACAATTCTTCCTCTAGCTCAGCTTTTCTGTGAGTGGAGAAAACACTGTCCTTGGTGGGTGGTCAGGGGACACAGGAACATAGCTGGAGAACCATGGAGACCGCACAGCCTTCAAGGCCCTCCCCGCCAGCTCTGGCCTTCCTCCACCTCTCCCGGCCTCAGCTCCCCCTTCTGTAAATGAGGGGAGGCGTGCTGAGCCCCTGGGCAGATGTCCCAGCTCGCCTCCGTGTGCCGCTGCCTCGCACCGCAACTCCGGTCTTTCACCCAGACGTGACCACAGCCTCCGCTCTGTGGCTTAGGCTAGTCCTGTCTTGCATCCTGGGCATGACTGACAAGGTGGTGAGACTCCCCGGGAGCCTTTCCCAGGACAGAATGTGGCCAGGGCCTGCCCCTGCCCCTGCCTGGTCCCCGTGCCAGTCCCCGTCCCCTCTGAAGGCTGTCCAGGCCCCACCATGCCAACTGTCTGCCGGCAGAGTAGCTGAAAGGGCCATTGCCTTTTCTAGTGCTTTGGGGGCTTTCTACAACTTTGACAGCAGAGACACCCTCTGTGGAAGTGAGCTGGGGCTTTGCTTTTGGGGGCTCTTCTAGAGGACTTCTGGGTGGGTTGGTGTACAGGGCTGGGATGGGAAACCCTTTCTCAGGCCAAGCTTGGGTGTGGGAAGGGCAAGTGCGCCTACAATCCCTTCTGTTCCGTGCATGCCGACCAGCTGATTGGATAAATTGGCAGCTAACGAAGCTATAGGGTATCTGGTTTCTATCATACGTGCTAAATGATACAAAAATTGAAAGCAATTTAACTTTGTGCTAATTTGTTTCATGTAGTGCCATGTTAAAAATTAAACTTTCCCGGGGCTTCCCGGGTGGCACAGTGGTTGAGAGTCCACCTGCCGATGCAGGGCACACGGGTTCGTGCCCCGGTCCAGGAAGATCCCACATGCCGCGGAGTGGCTGGGCCCATGAGCCATGGCCGCTGAGCCTGCGCGTCCGGAGCCTGTGCTCCACAACGGGAGAGGCCACAGCAGTGAGAGGCCCGCGTACCGCAAAAAAAAAAAAAAAAATTAAACTTTCCCCAAATGTGTTACACATTACTGCCTAAAGTCCACCTCTGTGATATTCAGACGTGCTTTGGGGCTAAAGCGTGCTAAAATATCTTGTTTCCAATCTAATAAATAGCATCTAAATGAAATAATCATAGTGTAGTGTACTGTCTAATTGCTAAATATAATTACAACCTTGTGATTTTTTAAAAAACTCTGTTCATTATAAGAACGTACTAGAAGACCCCAGCTGAATCTCTTTTCCCTCAGACTATTTTGAAATTGGCCGGTTATCTGCCTGGCTCTCCCCTCAAGTACATGGGGAGGGGCTCCCTGGGAGGCAGCCTGGCAGGTGTCGGTGTCAAGCGGAGCCTCCCTGAGCCTCCATTTCCCAATCCAGGAAATGGGGACGTGGAGACCTACCTTCCTCCCAGGGTGGGGGAGGAGGGGAAGGAGGTGCACAGGCGATGCTGTTTGTGATCAGCCCACCGACACTTGCAATGCGCGCTTGCCGACTCCATCCTAGCTGGGAGCGTGGGGTGCGGAGTGAGCAGGGGGCCCAGACGGGAGCTGGCAGCCCGCCTCCCTCCCCTCGGGCCATGGCCTGTCCGCTCCATCCTTCCCACCCGAAAGCTCCTTTCTTACCTCCTCGTGGTTTTTGGTTCTTTTCCCAGAAAGAAGGTGGTGCTGAGACTTCTTGCTTTTACTCCGCTCTGCTGCGGATTCAACCCAAAATTGTGCACTGCTGGAGGCCGATGCGGCACGCGCGTGCCTACGACGAGGGAAGGACGGGGCTTTTAAGCGTGGCTGATTTCAGGAAGGTGAGCACAGCTCTTGTGCGGCTGTGACCTCTGACCAGGAAGCAGTTGCCAAATGCCAGTGGCCAGAAAACCTCCAGAAAGGACCCGCCACCCCACAGCGAAAGGCCCAGGTGTGGGCAGCTGTCCCAGACCTCACTTCCTCGGTTCCCCCAGGTTGTCAAGGGCCGAGTGCATGTGTCCCTGTGCTGCAGACCCCAGGCTCTTCTCCCTGCAGGTTTCCAGAACCCTGCAGGGACGTCCCGGTGCCAACACCTGAGTGCTGCTGCCCTTGGGGCAGCACGACAGCTGCTGCGTCTCCTCAGAGCCCTGGCTGCACTCCACCCTGCGCCAGGCCAGGCCTCCTCCCCAGCCCCCGTCCCAGGTCTTTATGTGGGGGAGCCGGCAGGGTCACAGAGCAGAATGACAGCATCGGGGGACCGAGGCGGGGTCCCAGGTGCCCGACTCAGGGCCCACAGACCCCAGCCCTGCCTCACAGGAGCCCCGGGGTCAGCCCTCCCCTCTCCTGCAGCTGCCCCCACGTGGAGGGGCTGCCCACCGCGCACCACACGGTTTGCTAAGCAGCTCTCCCGACGGAGCCTGAACCCTGGTGCCTTTCCTGCCCCGCGAAAGTCCAGCATCCACAGAGGAAGGTGGTCTGGAGGGAGCGCCTCGCCCGCCGCAGCCGCCCCTCTGGAGCGGAACCTCTTGGCTTGACTTTACCCTGCAGAACCTTGGGAGCGCTTCTCCCTGAGGAAAGAGGCGGGCCGCCCTCGAGGGTGACTTAAAACTCCCGCGTTCAGAATACCGTAGAACTCCTCGGGTTGGCAGTTTCTTGACCCCCCTTTCCTCTCCTCTCTGCATCCCCACCCCGGCCACTGAGGTTCAGAAAATCATTGAGGTCTAGAACATTAGATTAAAAATCAAGACATCACAGAGAGAAGGGGTTACGGCCTCAGAACGCACTTACAGAAAGTGTACTCCTTAGACTTACCTGTGCTCAACAGCTAGAAAAAAGTTTTTTAAGTAAAAAAGCTTTTCTTAAATAATAATGCAGGAAGATGAACCGCAGTAGGAGGGCCTGGCGGGGCTGCATTCTCAAGGGCCTCGTGCAAGGCGCTGGAGGGCGAGGGGCCCCCTAGAGACACAGTGCTGCTCACGGTGGGCGGGGGCCAGGCCTGTCGCTGGGCGGGAGCCTCCGTGCCCCACAGTGGCAGCCAGCTCACAGCGTTTGTCTTTACTTTGGGGGCAAGTAAAATTCTCAGCCAGAGCAGGGAAGGAAGCGGGTGAGCTTCTGTTAATCTCCTCTTCAGGTAACTTCCCAGGAATTCGGGGTGGGTGACAGCAGGGAGAGGGCAATAGAAACGGAGACGTTGCCCTCAGCAGAGCCAGAGCCCGAGACCAGATGGGTGCTGGGACCCTCTGGACACCCAGGCTCAGTCGCCTTTTCTGCTCTCAGCCCATCAGCCCCATAGCCAGGCCAGATGACCTCAGCCCCATGGTCCCGGGCCTGTCCTGCCGACCCCAGAGGAACGTCGGGCTCTTCTAGCCCCACTTTCTAGCCCCCTCTGAGAAACAAATTATAACACAAAACATAGACGGGAAATGTATATCCTAATCTTTATATTTATCTAATAGGGTATCTATCTATTAAAATTTGTCTCAGTTGCACATAACAGAGGTGAGAAAAAAAATAACAGCACCTTAAACATGGTAGAAGTTTATTTCTCTCTCACATAAAAGAATCCCAGAGGTAGGAAGTCCAGAGCTGGCGTGGTGACCGGACAGTCATCGGGGACATCTGTATTTTTTTCTGCCACATCCTCAACACCTGACTTCCTGCCTCAAGGTCGCCACATGGCCCAAGATGGCTGCTAAAGCCCCAGCATCACTTTCACATTCCAGGCAGCAGAAAAGAGAGAAAGAGGGCATGCCCTTCTTCTTTAGAGACTTCCCAGAAGTCCCGCATAACACTCTCAGTGAGTTTTAACTGGCTATAAGAGAAGCTAAGAAATGTCGCCTTTTTTAGGTGGATCCCAGCAGCCTGGAAGAAAATCAGGGTTCTGATAACAGAAGGGGAAAGGGCAATGGGTATTGGTTGGGTAATAGCAGGCTCTGCCACGCGCTGTATTACTGTTGGGTCGTGACGACTCCCTGCACCCTGCACCTGCGGGCCTGCCCTCCTCCCCAGGTGGGCCGCACCCCGAGGCCCCACCCTAGCTATGGCCCTGTGGCCAGGTCTCCCCTCCAGTCCCCTCCTCTCCGTCCATCCTCCTCATCCTCCAAGCTGACCAGCCTCAGTACCCTTCGGGGAGGCGGTTGTGGGAGGGCCGGCTAGGGGTGGGGAACCCCAGTGGCTCCCATCTAAAGAGAAGTCCAGGGGTCTTCGTGTCCCGCATCCGTGTTGCTGGACGGGGCTGCCCTGTTGGTGGGGGTATGGGAGGCAGAGAAGAGGGCTGGGGAGAAGGGAAGCGGGAGAGAGAGCTGCTGGGGGCAGCTCTGGAGGTGGGCGACCAGGTTCGGGACGGGGGGAGAGGTGAGCGCACGCCTCCTGAGTGGCTCCGAGACCAGCAGGGGCTCCCCGCCTCTCCTGCAGGTCCTGAGGCAGTATAGCGCCAGCCTCTCCGAGGAGGACTTCTTCCACAGCCTGGAGTATTATGACAAGACGCTGTCTTCAAAACTCGCCTGCAACGACTTCCTCCAGGCCTTCCTTCAGTAGGGGGCCAGCTCTGCGAGCCCAGCGTGGGCAGACGGGGGCTGCAGGGCCTGTCCCCGAGACTAGTAAGATCTACCATCGGGGCGTCTCACGAACTTCCGGAGTGTCCCCAAAACAGAGCCCACACCCGTGCCCGGCCTGCGTCTTTCCGAGGTCATCCCAGGCCCAGCGCTGGGCTCTAGCATCATCAGTGGCCTTCCAGAGGGCCTCGGGGCTGCCCTGCTGAGCCTCGGGACCCTCGTTAGTTTGAGCAAATTAAAATGTTAGTCTCTGTAAGAATGATGCTTGAGACTTTAAAAGAACCACCAACAATAAACTTCAAAACTCAGAATTTCTGAAGGTTTTATTCATAAGAGCGTGCTGGGTGCCTCAGGGACGCCACAGCATTTCCTCCACCTGGGTCACATCTGTGCCCCTGCTGGGCTTGTCCACAGGGCCGCCTCTCTGCCCCTGGGGACACAGGCACACAGGCACGGAGGAGCGGCCAGCATCTAAGTCAGGCCCCATGTGTTCTTTGGCGGCTCAGCCCTTCCGGGGCCCGGCTGAGCTGACAGCTGATTGGAGCCACCCGCCAGCGCCCATTTCGGGAGGGACTCTTGCTTGGACACGACAGGGTGCGACAAGCTGAGAGAAGTTTTAAATCGCCGCAGTCCTTTCCACCCATCATGAAGAAGACGGAAGGGAGACAGTTTGCTGCCTCCTGGAAGGCTCTGGAAGGAACAGGAGAGGCAGGCAAGAGAGCTGCCCCTGAGCTGTGTGACCCCGGGCTGTCAGGGAGGGGTGGGGGCAAGGAGCCTCCACTGTCACCCTGAGCAACACACGAGCAGCACACGGCCAGCGGACCTCACGTCCCTCAGAGGGACGCCCGGCCAGCGCCCGCCGCGGCCCCAGCCACCGGACGGCAGCTTCCCCAGGGCCTGGGCAGCGGCCTTGGCTTCTCCTCGCCCTTCCTGTGGCCGTCACTGCCATGGCCACGCCTCCTCCTTTCCCTGCTCCCACGGGACACAGACACGGCTGCTGACCGGGGAAGGAGTCAAATGTTCAACCGGAAACCACAGGAGCTCTTAGGAAGCCAGACCAGAGCTGACCTCCTGTGAGCCCTGCTGGCTGCACAGCCACTCCAGCGGGCCGGGTGGGGTCTCCGTCCCCAGTGGAGAGATGGAGACCCCGAGGCCCAGGTGGAGGAGGGAAGGACGCCCTCTGGGGTGCCTGAGGAGTGAGGAGATGGCTCCTTGCTTCCTGCCCCTCAGCCAGGCACCCCCCCAGCCCGGCAGGGGGGCATCGGGGACCAGGCTGAGGAGGTCTGGCTGGGCCAGGACTGCGGAGGCCGCCAGATCCCAGAGAACCTGGGGGCCCTGGAGGAGGCTCAGAGGATGAAGATGCCCACTGTGGGGGGGCGAAGGGGGAGGGGTTGCCCTGAGGGCAGCCTGAGTTCAGGGAGGAGGGAGGGAGGGGCCGCGGTCCCTGCTGGCCCCAAGTCGGTGCTGTGGAACAGGAACGCCCTCGGCCCCAGCAGCTCTTCTTTCTAAGGGGCGGGGGTGGGAGGATGCCCTGCCCTTGTGCCCTGCCCCAGCATTCGGGGCCCCGCCTGTGTGCCCAGCCCCCACCCCGTGTGCCTGGCTTCAACCTTCTTGAGATGCCGCTCACACTGTGCACCTGCTCCTCAGGGAATGCTAACTTGTCCTTCAAAACTCAGTGCAGAGCTGCCTCTTACAGGAAGCCTTCCTGACTTCCCTAGGCTGAGCTGCGTATTTTGTCTGATGCTGGTCAGCAGCCTGTGGGTCTGTCGTTGAGGGACTTAGGGGGCCTCCAGGTCAAGAAGGGGCTCAAGAGGCAAGTGGCTCATCCTGACACAGAAGCAGGACTCAGTGGGGTCACAACTGAGTCCTGAAACATTCTCAGAGTAGTTTTGGTGTCAGTGAGATGGGGTTCCAGTTCCAGCTCTACCATGACACTCAGCCAAGTCATTTCACCCCTCTGAGTCTCACTTTCCACATCTGTAAAATGGGCAATCACAACCCCCTCTCAGAGGACATTGTGAGGCCCACACGTGGAAAGAGTTTGGCTCTGCAGTGGGGTTTTCTCTCGGAGTTAGCAGAGCTTCCGAGCTGAGGGCTGCAGGCGAGTGGGCTGTTAGCCACCCTCTCCCTTAACCCCAGAAGAGGTGGGGCAGCTGCTTTCCCAATGCCCGGCCCTTTCAAGCTTGAGTCAAGAGAGCAGGGCTGGACTGAGGATCAGGGTGTCCAGCTGCCCCCTGTTCATCCCCTGGTCCCTGTGCATCTTCCCTCTCTGGCTGAGCCTCCATTTCCACATCTGCAAAATGAAGGTAACCCCGCTTCCCTCGGGCTCGTCCACCAGTCGGTCTGTGCCCAGCCGCACGAGTCAAACCCAAACCTGTCTCCTAGAACCCCCAACAAGGTAGGTCGGAGACAATCAAAAGAGAGGAGGTCAGGGCTGATGGGGGGAGCCCTAGGTATGGGAATCCAAAGAGCCCTGGCCCTACGCCTAGAGCTGGACTTCGGGACAGAATTTCAGCAAGGGGTTGAGGGAGGGTTTCAGCTGAGTGCCCTCAGAGTCAATCCTGGGAGGCCAAGAGGGCTGGGCCATTTCCCAAAGGCAGTACGGTGCTCCCAGCCGGGACCACCCGTCCCCTCCCTCTGCTCTTTCCTGGGCCCTTGTATCCCGATCAGGTGTCTTCAGGTGGGCAGCCTTCCCAGAGCCAGGCCCAGCTGGGAGCAACAGCCCTTCTGGATCCTACTGTGTGGAAAGAACTGAGTGCCCATTTTTCCACCCCAGTAGAACTCATGTTAAAGCAAATGGCCCTATTTGTCTCCCCATCATGTATCCATGTCCCTTGCTTTTGACCTTGAAGTTCCTGTTGCTAAATAATGTCTATTTCCCCAGTGCTTGAATCCACACTCAGCCACGTGACTTGTTTTGGACAATGAGCTATTAGCAAGCATGACACAACAGAGGTTTGAGAAGCAAGCACCTGTGGTTTTGGGCTTTGAGATGCAGAGAGCTGGAAAGAGCGTCACTCCCACCTGTATCAGAAGAGAAAAGCTGGACAAAATACAAGTTAACAACTTTTCTTAAACCCACCTGAGAATGGAGCTCAGCGCAAACAATTCACTGAAGTCTAGAGATAGGTGCCTGCAGGGAGAAACAAGACCCAAGCATTTGCTTACCTGGGATAGACATCACAGAATACCATGTAAGCTAGTAAGAGGATTCAGCTGGACATTTTTAACATGGGATAGACATCACAGAATACCATATAAGCTAGTAAGAGGATTCAGCTGGACATTTTTAACATGGGATAGACATCACAGAATACCATATAAGCTAGTAAGAGGATTCAGCTGGACATTTTTAACATGGGATAGACATCACAGAATACCATATAAGCTAGTAAGAGGATTCAGCTGGACATTTTTAACAGATTGCTCAAAACCAAATGTGGGCTAGCCTGAGAATGTGAAGGCTCTCTGGGCTCTGACACAGAGGAGTTTGCATCCTCCGGGAACCTCACCAAGTGCTCACAGAGATCAGGGAGGATCCAGAGGAAGCTTCCTCTGTCCCTGTCCCCGCAGCGGTGTGGCCGGAAGAGGGTACCAGCAGCCACTGCTGAAACTCTGCCAGAACCCATCTCCCCATCCCTCGAAGGGAGCAGAAAGCTCCATATGCAGAGAAAAGGACAGCAAAACCATAGCCTGAGGGCACCGGTCAGAACCCAGTGCAGGCGAGGGGTCAGAACAAGCCCTACTCCTGGAGGTGGACAGGGCAGAAATATATGCTAAGCCCTGTATTACATCTGTAGGAGGGGCAGGGCACTCATGAAGGCTCACAGTATGCAAGGCCGAATCAGAACCTCAGAGAAGACCCCACCCCATCCTCCACCATCACACCAACAATCATCAAATAAAATGAAAGGTGAAACAGCTAGGAGAGCCACAGGAACCCATCGCTCCAGGGAGCAGCACAAAGGAAGACCCAAAGGCAAGCTGCGAGCAAAATTCAATGCAGCCCAACTCCTGACAAGATCAACCCAAGCCCCACACTAAAGCCCTAACAGAAAGAAAGACATATTCTTCTCCAAGCATAAAAAATACTTACCTCAGCATCTACTGTTCTATTGTATCAGAGGTTAGCAAATCACAACCAGTGGACCAAATAGGGCCTGTGGCTTATGTTCATACAGTCTATGAGCTCAGAATGATTTTCACAATTTTAAAAGGTTGGAGGAGGAGAAAGAGAACAAGAGCAAGAAGGACAAGAATCGACAGACTGTGTGTAGCCCACAAAGCCTAAAATATTTTCCGTCTGACTTTCTACAGAAAATGTTTGTTGACCTCTGCTATACAAATGTCCAGCTTTCAATAAAAAATTATGAGACATACCAAAGGGCAATTAAAAGAAAAAAATAATAAACAGTGAAGAGACAAAGCAGTCATCAGAATGAGACACGAGGGCTTCCCTGGTGGCACAATGGTTGAGAGTCCACCTGCTGATGCAGGGGACACGGGTTCGTGCCCCGGTCCTGGAGGGTCCCACATGCCGCGGAGCGGCTGGGCCCGTGAGCCATGGCCACTGGGCCTGCGCGTCCGGAGCCTGTGCTCCGCAACGGGAGAGGCCACAACAGTGAGAGGCCCGTGCACCACAAAAAAAGAATAAAGAATGAGACTCAGATTTGGCACAGATTTTAAACGATCAGAAAAGAAATTTAAAATAATAAATTTGTATGTTAAAGCGCTAGCGGAAAAAGTAGACAACACATATAATCAGACAGGAAGTTTCAGCAGAGAGGTGGAAACTGTAAGAATCAAATTGAAATCTTAGAAATGAAAAACAATAAAAAAAAGATAATGATTGCCTTTGACAGACACATCAGTAGACTTACACAAGGAAAGAATGAGTGACCTTGAAGGTAGATTAATAACATGTACCCCAAGTGAAATGCAAAAAGAAGAACGAATGGGAAAAATAACAAAATATCAGAGAGA